AAATCTCATCAGGCTCAAGGTTGACCCAGACTTCCATCCTTCCGAGGTGGGTAAAATGAGGACCCAGATTGTTGGGGCGATATACTGACTCTGTACACAGCTTAGAGAGCGCTGGAAAGCTCCGGAAAGCGGTATGTAAGTATAAGTGCTATTGCTATCTGCTACACTGAATGCAGCCGCCACATTTTTTTCCCCTAGCTTACTGTCAGAGCTGAATTAAAATATTAAAAAATATATAGATACAATTCAGGAATAAGTAGATATTTTCCAAAAGATTCTTGACATTTTAACATACTAGATCAGGGGTGTCAAAGTCAAGGCCCGCAGGCTGAAAATATAAGGAGCCAGCCTGCATCGCTTTGGCCCGGTCTACTCAGTGTGAAGAGGAAATATGCCAGAAGTTTGGGGAGTGGTGCCAAGCTGGTCATGCCCACCTAGTTGGCCACACCCACCAGTTGACCACGCCCACCCATCTCCCTGAGGTCAACCACAACTCTGATGTGGCCCTCAATGAAATTGAGTTGGACACCCCTGTACTAGATGCACATATGTTCTCTGTGCATAAAGCCCCCTGTTGTAGAAACAGCTTGAGGACCAGTCTGATGAGATAGGAATAGAAAGGGGAATAGGAATAGAATAGAATAGAATTCTTTATTGGCCAAGTGTGATTGGACACAGAAGGAATTGGTCTTCGGTGTATAACTTCTGGTTAATTTAAAGTTCAAGCACATTGGTTCAATAAATAATAGTTTGTGCTCTTTTATAATATTGTGGAATATTAACAAGAGTTCTTATAATATAATATTGTAAGAATACTATTTTAAATATTCGATCCATTTTGAACCTCCACTAAGGAAATTGAAATTTTCCAATCTCAGAAAACAGTAGAGGAGGAAGAATCATCTACCATAGTGGGATCCTGCCCTCAATTCTGCAGGGAGAAGCCATACCATAGCACAGGCCTCGGGTTGAGATGGGTGGCAAACAAATTTCATAATAAATAAATAGGTTCTGGGAAGCTGCCCTGTGGACAGTGTGATGTTCAGCATTGCACTCTTTCTCAAAACAAAAGTCCTTTTAACACACATACCTTTTTCCATATGGGGACAGTAGCTTTTAAAGTATTGATGCAATATTGCAAGGCATTGAGAGACTCTGCTCGGTGAGGGGAAGAGATGGCTACAATCACGCTGGCTTCACTAATGGGAACCAAACTAAAGAGAATGTGAAAAGTAACATTAGCTGTGGCTTTTAGCCACATTAGTGTAATCTTTCAAGGACAAAATAAAGGTCTTGTTATCAACTACTACAAGGGCCTAGATAAACAAGAGGGGCCATGTTCTAGGAAGATCAAATTAGAGAGGCAGAATGTCTCATGATTATGTGTTCCGAGGGAAGACTCAACAGGAAAACAAATTAAGTAAAACTACAGAAGGGACATTCTGCAACAACAGACTGATGCAATCATTTAGATCAGGGAGAGAAAAGCAGAGCTGCTTTTTCTAAGAGTTTCAAGGCAGAAATAATCCACTACCCCAAATAACATTTTAGGGATACTCCAGAGATCCTGTCAGTCATTATTCAATCCTCTATACAGGTAGTCCTCGACTTACAACCAGAACTGATCCCCAAATTTCTGTTGCTAAGTCAGACATTTGTAAGGCGGGTTGTGCTCCATTTTATGAACTTTCTTATCACCGTTGTTAAATGAATCACTGCAGTTGATAAGTTAGTAACCCGGTTGTTAAGTGAATCTGGCTTCCCCATTGTCTTAGTTTGTCAAAAGGCTGCAAAAGGTGATCACGTGACTCCGGGACACAACAATGGTCATCAGTATGAACCAGCTGCCAAGCATCTGAATTTTGATCCCACAATCAAGGGGATGCTACAAAGGTTGTAACTGTGGAAAATGGCTACAAGTTACTTTTTTCAGTGCCGCTGTAACTTTGAGCGGTCGCTAAATGAACTGTCGTAAGTTGGGGACTACCTGCAATGTACAAAGGAATTAAAATGGCAAAAAACTATACACGTATATTACAGGAATCAAATTGCACAAATTGTATTAGACATATAATCAATAGATGTGTAATTGAAATTTAAAGAGAGACATGTAGCCGTCATCTCTTTGAAAGCTCCTTTATCTTTACTCCATCTCTGCATCTGAGCAAAAATAAATGCAATATTTAAATGTTTTGGTTCTGAAAAACAGAGATAGGGAACCTTCAGATTTTGGATTCTGACTCTCATGTTGTAAACAGTGCAAGCAATTTCCAACTGTAGTTCAAACATCTGCAAAGCAAAACAGCTGCTTTTCTTTTGTACAAAAGAAAAATAAGCTAAGTAAGTGTTCACGTAAGCGTTCCACATGAAACACATGTCACAACTGTGTTTCCACTAGTTAGTGGCTGCCAGTCAGGTTGAAATCTAATACTTTCTAAAATAGTTATAACAATGATTGTTACCGGTTGTCCTAACTTAGTAACCACAATTGGAACCAACTCCGTCGCAAGTGCTACAGTTGCTAAGCAAGATATCACGATTGCACTAGACCAGGGGTGTCAAACTCACATTGTCACGGCGGCGTTACGTGACATATCGGGATTTTTTTCCCCTTCGCTAAACCGGACCTGGCCATGGCCAGAATGTGATGCATCCGGCCGATGGGCCAGGAGTATGACAGCCCTGCACTAGACTTACAACCTCACTTCTGCTGCAGTTGTTAAGCAAATCACTGTGGTCATTAAGCAAAACATCAAATGACTGTGACGTGGGATTTTTACTGCTACCTTTTCTATTCTGCTTGTCCCACGCTAGTTGCGAAGCACACAACTAGGAATAAAGCAACTGCAAGACACTAAAACAGTTGAAAATGTGGGGACTGGTTGGAAAGTTACATTTTCAATACATTTGTAATTTTAAACAGTTACTAAATGAGGCAGTCAGTAAGCAAGGTCTAAGTGTAAGCAGTCCACTCTCCCTTAAGTTCTCAGAGCAGTATAGATATTACCTTACAGCATGCTGTCTGGGATTTCTGGCTGTCACTGCCAAGAGCCGAGGTGACGCAGTGGTTAGGGTGCAGTACTGCAGGCCACTTNCTGGTGCAGCTGAACACCTGGATTGGAGAGTCAGGGTTATTTATACCCTCTCTTGGGCCTTGGCCTTGAGCTTCCTGTTCCTGTGGCAAGAGCATGTATTCTATTGGTTGCTGTAGTCACACTCCCATGTGGCCATGTGGAGTCATGTTTGTCTGAATCAAGTTTGGTTGAACCTTGGGCTGATGCAATAAACCCTCAGGAAATTTTGCAATGCAGTGAGCCCTACTGCTAGATAATCTTATAATGTCCTGGAGGTTCGAGTCTTAATCCCGTCACTTTGGAGCTGGAAGTCTTTTGTCACATAGATAGACTGGCTCAGTCTTTCTTAATGTGCACCAAAATATCTGCTGAGGGCAGGGAGATAGGGTTCTGTTTCCTTTAAGATTTTTATTTCCCTTTTAGGGAAAATATTTTATCCTTTCCTAAAATATTTCATTCTTCTAGAAGAGAGGTAGGTGATAACTTTCTTCTCTTGGTAAAAAGAATAAATCTACTCAGTGCAAAACTTGTATCAAAACATATACAACATATGTTAAATGATTTATAAACATGTGCACCAAAGCACTTTATGAAAAATTTAATATTTTGCCATTTATTTCACAAAAGCATTAGGTAGAAGAACTGCATGCATAACTACTTATTAGCATAGTAATGAATAGCAATGTTTCAATGCAAATTGACATTTGACTCTCTGACAACAGAGCAAAATGTATACTCAGTTTAAAGTGAGGAAAATGTATGCATATTTTCTTATGAATATGCTTTTCCAATCAGTTTTTTTTTCATATGCCTTGGTTTTACTTTCACGAAAGTGGAGACCATTACAGTGAGAATCGGTTTATACGTTTCAAAATAAATTCAATTAAATACAGTGGAAACTTTTTTTATGAATATGCCAAGTCCCTGCTCTTTGGTTGAGAAATCAAATGGAAACTTAGAGGTTGCTAGGGTGGTGGTTTTTTTTTTAAGCAAATCTTCTCTTCATCCCAAATCTTAGCCCTCAAATATATTGGATTGCTTGCACAATTATTCTAGAAGATTTATTTATGTATTTATTTATAAAATANTGCTATTGCTATATAATACAGCCAATGATCATGTCTGGAAATTCTGAGAGTTATAGCCATGATCAGTTGGGAGTTGAGGTTTAAGTAATCCCCCATGAATATATTTTCAATAAATGTCATTACAATGTTGTTGGTTCAACATTGGTTGTTGGTTCATTTATGCAGCATGTCAGAACTGATGTCCAAAAGTTACATCAAAACGTGCAGGAAAAGACACAGCTACCTGAAGCACATTTTGGAGACCAAACTCAAAGCGCTCTAGAGAAATATCATCTTGATACTTCTCCTTCTCCTTGTCCATCATCCTTGTCCTTCCCATCATCAAGTTTCCAGATTTGATATTTTAACGAGACACCAACACATACCTGTGAGTATCTTTCTAGACCTAACCTCCACTAAGAGGTGGGATGATGGCAACTTCGTCCCCTGTGTGGAGGATGAACTGCTGATCCCCAAGGGGTACGTACTCCTGACAAATGGCAAAGATAACTTGATCTTCTATATCAGCAAGACTGAAAAAAACAAAAAGATTAATGAGATGGATTTGCTTCTGCAATAGATCCCTGGCTTTTTTGGATTGGATTCTACTGAACATATTTTGAGAACCTCACAAAATGCACATGAGTAGGGTCTCCATCCTCAAAATGGCTACCGAGTCAATTAAAATCAGTCACAAAGCTCTGATTTTTAAAAAAGACTTATGACTTGCTATCTCTTCTAGCTTCTTCTTTCGCAGATTGTTCCAGACAATCCCAGCAAAAGTTTCCTCTTTCTTTGACCAGGTTTCTATTTGAAAGAGACAGGACTTTCTTTCCCTGATTTTATTTTGTGAGAAAGCTTATGGAATACATTTAGAATCTAGACAAAAGGACTGCTGGGGGATTGGCAATATTCCAAATTTCTCTCTCTGTGTCTATCTATCTATCTATCTATCTATCTATCTATCTATTAATCAATCTATCTATCTATCATTGGAACTGATTCTATGTAGAAAGTCACTTGAATAAGAGACGGGAGGGCGGGTGTCACTGGCCATTCGGGGGTTATGTGCTTTTGCACAGCGTTATCCATGTTATCAGTTGTGCTATTTCTTGGACCAGGAAGCTCTTTGGTCAGTGACTCAAGCCATGCTCAACTCAGGCTTCTTTAAGCTTCAATTGGCCAAGAATGCAGTTGCACAAGGAGAGATGTTTGCCCATATTTTCCAGCTTTCCTTTGTCTGCCAGTTTGCTTCTTATGCCTTCCAGGTTCTGTTATCATCTACGGAACCCTACATGGCCCAGAACCTGGCCAGCACACTTTGGGTCCCTTCAACTAGACATTGTCATCTTTTCAGATTGTGAGCCAGAAGTGTGGCTTTTATGTTACACTCATCCTCGGGAATGAGGTTCCAACCCTGATACTGACTGTTCTTTTGAGATCTTGGGCTAGCTTGGCTGCAGCTGCTCGTGGGCCATGTGTGTGTATTCTTTTAAAATTAGTCCTTTTTACTTGATGGCAAGGTGGGGGAGGATGACTCTGTACGCTGAGCTTCTTGGTCACCATAGAAGATGACAATGGATTGTCGTGACATTAAAAGTTGCAAGTCTCTATGCAAGAATTGCAAGAGTGCGCGATTACCAAAAATTGACGGCTTATCAGCTTTGGAAGCCATATTAACAACGGAAGCTTCCACGCTGCCACATTCTTGTGCTTGGGAAATTAGGAGCGGGGATTTAGTAAAGGGAATGTAGTTAGACATAATAGCATTCTTCTTTTCAGTCAAGGTCATGGTATTCCTGCACCTGGAGGAGGAGTAGTTGAAGTGATGTCTCGAGGTGGGATGGATTGTGGTTGGACCATGTGATGGATTGATGGGTGCAGGGGATGGGTTTGGGCTTTTGACTTACTGAAGGGAAACCCAGACGCTCAGATTCGGGTTTTCCCAGACGTGCCAGTATAGCTACTCTAATAAAAGGGAACTTGGAGAAAATGTCTGTCTCAGAGTTTTTAATTGGAGTTGGATTCTTCTTTAATGCTGACACTGCTCTATACTGTAAGAGCACGAGGAAAGAATCAATTACCGATACACATCACCTTACCTTGAATGTCTCTTGACAATTTCCTTCCACAGCTGCAGCGAGGTTATTTGTTGGGGTACCGAAATGACCTCTGTACGCAACCCTGCTAATTCAGCACTTCTGGCAAAATACAGCACTGTGACCTGTTTTCAAGAAGGTAAAAACATGGAATGTTTAGTCCACCTCTGATTTAAGCCTATAAGGCCGGGATGGCGAACCTATGGCATGCGTGCCACAGGTAGCACACGGAGCCATTTCTCAGGGCACACGAGGTGACTTCTGGTTTGCTCGTAGGGTTGTTTTTTGCCCTCCAGAGCCTTCAGGGAAGCCTCCGGAAGGCCCCTGAAGGCTCTGGAGGGCTAAAACCGGCCGTACGAGCAAACTGGAAGTCCATTCCCAAACATCCTGTAGGGCTGGTTTTTTGCGCTCCAGAGGCTTCAGGGAAGCTCCTGAAGCCTCCGGGGGGCAGGGGAGGCTGTTTTAGCCCTTCCCAGGCTCCTATAAAGCCTCTGGAGCCTGGGCAGGGCAAAGAAAGCATGCAAAAAATGGGGGGAGCGCTGGTGATGCACATATGTACGCTGGGGTTGTGCATTTCATTATGGGTGTGGCACGCCCGCGCACAACCCCCTGGGCTCCCCCCACTTTTGGCACGCGAGCCAAAAAAGGTTCGCCATCACTGCCATAAGGATTTCATTTGTATTCCATTGTAACTAAAATTTAATTGACGCATTAGAGCTTCATTTTTGAAACAGCATGTAAGTTAAAGTAATGGACATATTCAAACTTGCAATCAACGGGTTTTTGAAATACAAGGAGAATAATATGCACCTGTATCTACATTGTAAAAGGTATCCTGCCCCAATTACATTTTTAAAAAAGTGAATGTCCTCAAAAAAGAGTCTTCTTCTTGTGCCATATCCGTCATTGGACATTGCCGATCATGTTGGCAATCCTATTTTTGTCAACAGCGCATGAAAAAGGTCTGCTGAGTTTTGTCCAAACCAATCCCTTAGATTTTGATGTTTTTCTTCTGCCTGGACCTCATTTGCCTTCAATTTTTTTCCTGGAGGATTAAGTGAAATATGCCACATCACATGTCCAAAATATTCTAATTTTCGCTTATTAATGGACATGATAATTTCCCTTTTTTTCCCCTTCCCAAAAGAGTGCAAACACTAAAAAATGGAAGCAAATTTTTCAAAACTCTTTGGCTGCAGAGGCGATTGTAATGGGCTATGAGAATGACTTTGGGAGAAGAACCTACTGTCTAAATAGCTGTTAGACAAGAATGGGAACGGAGAAAGCATCTCAGAAAGTTCTCTAGTTCTCTAGAAAGTAAAGACAAGGGAAGGGAGAAGTATTTTCAGACCTGCAAGATTCTATGAATGTCATCTTACAATAAAGTTTGTGTTAATATTCATGGTTTTTGTGGTCTGGACTATCCTAATGCACTGACAGTTACAGGAAGGAATGTTTAAAGCTCAGTTCCATATGTGGCCGCATCTCAGCCTCCTAGAAGGCGCAAAGCATTTTGAAATTCAATTAGCAATTATTCTGTTTCCATACAACTTAAGGCAGGGAGGTCAAAAAAGCCAAGTTGGCAATCATAATCATTTACCTTCTCATGATGGATACCTCTGATTTAATGTATCATTGATATCCCACAGCTGGGCGGGGGGGTGGGGGATACTCCCGCTCCAGTTCCCATGAGTCCCAACTAATCAAACGCAAAGAAGCTGAAATACACCTGACTCTTTGCTATTACAACCCTAGCAAGAACTAAAATTACTCCAGAAAAAAAAATGTAGTTCATCCTGGATGGATACACAGGAAGGTTGTCAAACAAGTTTTAAACACTCTCTAGAGATTAGAAATCTAAACGTTCCAGCTGGTTTATTCATCAAAACCTCCAGGTTCCACAGGTTCCACAGAACTATCAAATGACAGGCAGGTAACTTCAGAAAAACTTATAACCTTAAATGCAAAATAAATCCATGGGTGGTTCAGCATTTCAAAATACAGGCAGACAATGCAGTTGGTGGCCTCCAAAGTAGGGGTATACAAGAAATATTAAAAGCTCTGTTATTTGTCTAATTTCCTCCCCTCCAGAAGTGAAACTAATTCGATAAGCTATTCAATCTACAGAATATTCTCTATAGGTCATAAAAAAGCACAACAAAGAATGTTCTTTGTGCGTCAACTTAGAAAGTTCAAACTGCCCAAAGAGCTGCTGATTCTGTTCTACAGAGGAATTATTGAGTCTGTCATCTACACCTCCATAACTGTCTGGTTTGGCTCTGCAACCAAACAAGACAGACAAAGACTTAATGGATAATTAGAACTGCAGAAAAAAACAATTGCTAACAATCTGCCTTCCATTTAGGACCTCTATACTGCAGAAGTCAAAAAGAGGGCTGTGAAAATATCTACCGACCCCTCACATCCTGGACATAAATCATTTCAACTTCTACCCTCAAAATGACACTATAAGGCACTGCACATCACATCAACTAGACACAAGGACATTTTTTTCTCTGAATGCCATCACTGCTTAACAACTAATCCCCACAACACGGTCAAATTATCTACTAAGACTGTATTATTATTATTATTATTATTATTATTATTATTATTATTATTATTATTATTATTA